GCCGCTCCCCCCAGCTCGGCTGCGCTTCTCACTGACTCTCTCCTTCCCTAGCTGCAGCTAACTCGGGTCGGGAAAATGCGACAGCGACTGCCCACTCGAGGTCGTCATGGCGACAGCCAGTGAACGTGTTCCTCTCCTCGGGCAGGCCCCCGAGTGTAGAGGAGCTGCTTCGCGAGGCGCAGCTCAATCTCCAGAGCCTGTTGCAAGGTACCGAGAGGGAGGGGGGCTGCGGCCGGAGCCTGGAGGCGAGATGCAAAGCGGCAGGAGGGAGGCAAAGAAGAAAGAGGACAGGAACCAGCTAGAGGAAAAGAGAACAGTTTAAAACCTATCGACAAACAATGCACACATTTTCCATCTTTCACCTTTCAGACTAATGCTACTAAAAGAGTCTATTTCCAGGGCTGTCTCCCCCTACCCCCATTTGTCAGCTCAGTAGTTTATAGGGGAACAAGGACAGAAGCTGAGGCAAGCTAGTGGGTAAGGCCATTCACAGAGTGCTGATTGGAGCATTCCCACAATGTGGGCCCACATTCCCTCCAGCCCTCCTCTTGCCTCATCACCCATGCCCTTGGAATCCTGGCATGGAAGACAAAGGGTCTGCAGGGTCTCCCACTCAGCTTCACTCACTCTGCTCTTACAATAACCTTGTCCACCTGCCTCCTGGCTATCTACTGCCTCAGCAAAGTAAGCCCAATACGCAGCACCCACAGGTCACCTATTTTGTCCTCTTAACCAGACTGAGCTTCTCAACGTAAAGAATCACATCTCTTACTGCCCTTGGGTTTCCAGAAGCATCTGTCAGGGGTAGATCACCCAAGAAGTGTTCAGTGGATGTTAAATGTTAAAAGAGGTCTTGTCAGTTCTTGTTTCTCTATACCAACGAAGGTTAACTCTAATGGAGAATACAAAACTGCCAGTGGGCCACCAACGGGACAACAGTCATAATTTCCACCTCCCTGCTATGGCAGTGGTGACTTTAGAGAGGCACAATACCAAGGAACACCGTGGGCCTTGTGTTCAGGTAACAGAGGAGCTGCCAGGCAGGAAAAGAGTCAGTGTGCTTTGTTCTACTACCATAGCAGAATTAGGCCCCGTGGGTGGAAACCTAGCAGGAGGCAAATTTCACCTCCAGATAAAGAAGAACTTCTCTTACATGCCTGAAAGCCCCAACTGTCCATGGAAGGAATGAGCTGCCTTGTGTAGGGAGGGAGCTCCTCTTCCGTGCAAGTGTGTACGCTGAAGCCAAAGAAGCACCTAGAAAGACTGTTGAGGAGGGAGTCTGGGCACAGAATGGGGTGTTGGACCAAAGAACCCCAAGAGCAACTCCAAGTTTCTAGTTCTAAAAGTCTGTTCAAATGTACATACAGCATGAAATGTTCATTCTTTATTCTCACTTTCTTCATTTACTCATCGAAGTCATCACTTCAGTAAAACCCATTCAAATCTTGTGCATCCTTCTTCTCCGATGATGCCCCTGAACTTGTCCCTCTTCTGTGCTGCTGCCTCCTCCTTCCATCTCCTTCACATTAGCCCTCTAGACCTGATCCTACCAACAGTGGGTGTAGGGAACCAGGCCCACAAAAGTTCAAATAAGAGTTCTTGGCAGAGCTGGGCTCAGTGGCTCAGCCTGTAATCCCGCGCCTTTGGGAGGCTGAGGTGAGTGGATTGCCTGAGCCCGTGGGTTCGAGACCCACCTGGGCAGCGAGACCTCATCTCTACAATAAATCAAAAATTCAGCCGGGCGTGGTAGCGCGTGCCTGTAATTCCGGCTACTTGGAAGGCTGAGGCGGAAGGATCGCTGAAGCCCAGCAGGTGGAGGCTGCGGTGGCTGGGAGCGGCCACTGCACTCCAGTCTGGGCCACAGAGTGAGACTCCAACTCAAAAAATAAAAAAAGAGTTCTTGACATTCAAGAGAGAACTCCAGATTGGACTTCTCAGTACAAAGCTCTTCTTGCTTCACACAGGTCATTCCTTGGTAGGGTTGCAGGAAACCTGAAGGTCTGCAGGACCTCAAAGAGAGAACCTTGCAGTCTAAAATAGCAAAAGGTACCTGCATCCTTAGCCTCTTCTCCTAGTTGAGCACTTAAGGCGAGGATCATTGAGATGAAGGCTTGGTTCCCAAATCAACACAGCTTGAATGTATTGACTTTCTTTTCTCCTCGGCCCTCATGGTCCTGGGAAACAGGCACTTTTCCATTTCCGAATCCAGTGACTCAGGCGCTGGGGAACTAGCCTAAAGAAACAATACAAGTCAGGCCTGGCAGTTAGAGCAGGAGCCGTGGCTCATGGTCCTCCCCCAGTCCAGTGCTCGGCTGTGGCCTCCTAGAGTGTGTCTCCACTGTGCTATTTTTCAGAAGAATATGAGGAACAGTACTCGGAGGCCAGACTTCTGGGGCAGACCTTCCGCTCTTCTGATGAGGCCCCTGAGCCCATCCCCAGCCCAAGGCCCCAGTCTGCCAGGCGCCTGGAGTTTGTACTGATGGTGAGTTGCCTCTTCCCCCTACCTGGGAGAGCCAGCGTGCACCCACTGACAAGACCTTGAGCCGCTTAAGTTACCCACTGGAAGCTGCTGCTCACCAGCAGAGCTATCCTGCAGCCCTACCAGGATGGGCCCTGCAGAGCAGATACCTGGCCTGGCAGTCTGTCTGTGCTTTCCTGCCTCCCAGATGAAGCCTCCAACCACCTTGCCTAAACAGCCATCCTGTGGCCACTGGCTCATTGCCAGGCGAGAGCACACCCTTTCCATCACCTTCTTTCCCAACAGCCTACAAAACAACAACTGAGCGAGGATGAAACTACTACCCAGGGTGTGAGGGCCCCTGAGGCCTCCCTGAGCCTGTCTACCACAGCCGACAAGCAAACTGCCTGGAATAGCCCCTTCCCCCTGCCCATCCTAGAGGAGAAGCGGTGGCCTCAGCCTTGCTCCACACAATCTGACATTGTGCCCATCAACATCTCTGGTAGAGTTTCTTAGCACTCCCTCTGTCTGCTTTCCTCCGTGCCTCTACAGACCATCCTCTCTGATGCACTGGGGGTTGGGGAAGGGAGTGAGACTTTCTTTGCTATTGGCTCACCCTGCACTGTCACGGTCATTGCTCTAGCCAGGGAATGGAGGCATGCACAAGAGAGGGCTCTGGCTGCTCTTTCTTCACTCCCTCCTGGCACTGCCACCCTAACTGAAACCATTCAATAGCAAACAACATTTTCTTAACAGAAAACTCCAAAACTGTATGAACCTGTGTGCTCTTCAGAGTATACAAGAGGGGACCCCCCCACACACAGCTGGAATTTATTTATTAAAAATTGTGTATTTATTCTTACATGTTTAAACTTCAGTAACCTTCAAAGTACTTTCTCCATTTGATGCAATATAATTATCAAGATGCTTTTTCCGCTGTTCAAAAACAGTTTTTGAATTCGTCGATTTTGATGCCTTTTAGTGCTTCTGCCTTTTTTTATTTTTTTTTATTTTTTATTTTTTTGGTTTCATCTATTCCACATCAGCAAAACGCTTCCCTTTGAAGATTTTTTCATTTGGGGAAACAAAAGTCATTTTGGGTGAGATAGGGTGAGTAGGGAGGGTGAGGCACAGGGGTCATATTGTTTTTGGTCAAAAACTGCTGAATACTTAGCACGATGTGGGCAGGTGTGCTCATAAATCACCCATCATGAAATGGGCAAACACTTTGAAAGAATTTCCCCCCCCAAAATTCACTGGAGCCAAACACAGTCTCTTTCAACAACACTAGCTAGTGCACTGATGCCGATGGGTTTAGAAACTTACCTAGCAGGGAAAGCCTGTACTACAAGGGGCCTGCCTTCCAAAAACATAATTCCAGGTTTTTTGGGTCCCCCCTCATATATGGAAACTTAAAGATTGTGAGTTCAAGCCGGGCTCGGTGGCTCAGCCTGTAATCCCGCGCCTTTGGGAGGCTGAGGTGAGTGGATTGCCTGAGCCCATGGGTTCGACACCCGCCTGGGCAGCAAGACCTCACCTCTACAATAAATCAAAAAATCAGCCGGGCGTGGTAGCACATGCCTGTAATTCTGGCTACTTGGAAAGCTGAGGCGGAAGGATCGCCGGAGCCTAGCAGGTCGAGGCTGCGGTGGCCGGGAGCAGCCACTGCACTCCAGTCTGGGCGACAGAATGAGACTCCAACTCAAAAAAAAAAAAAGATTGTGAGTTCTGTTAGAGGTGGGGCAAGACAACTCTTGTGCTCAAAGCTGGATTTAGTGTACACTGATCGGAGCTGGAGGGGGAGAGTGGGGTTCAGAGTGCTGATGGTAAAAGGGGAGGGTCACACCTGGACACAGACCAAAGGCCTTGTGGCACTTTGACCAGTCACTAGGTCTTCCTGCCAGATGGGCCTCCTCAACTTATTTGGCAAGGTTTTTAAGAAGAGAAGTAGTAGAAGGATACTAAATCTAAAAAGACCAGAAAGGAACCCAGTATGACCTTGAGAGGGGAACATGATGTATGTAGCTCGGCTGGTTGATGCTCTGGGGGCATGTGGCACACTATACTATGCCCATTATAAATTCATGCTCCACACTTCATTGGCTAGAAATGAAAGAGGAGGAAGGCCAGTCATTGCAGAAGGAGATATAGGCCATTGACCTAATGAAACCAAGACCTCAGTAACCCAGGGATCAGAGGGATCCTTTGAGCAGCACCAGCCCATGCTATGCTGAAAACGTTGATGAAGATAATGAGGACAGTTCTGGGCACATGTGTGATGCTCCCTGGATGGAGGGTCCTTCACTGCCACTGGCATCGTCTCGGGCGATCAGAGGCAGGAAATAGAGCCTATAGCCTAGGGAAACATACCAGGAGGAGTAAGGACTGAAGAAAAGAGACTCACATGGTGACATCAGGCACTGTGTCTAAACATCTATCTTACTCTCCACAAGGATGTCCCTGAGTTTTGCCCACAGAGCCACTTGCTGGGGTATGTGTATATGCATGTAGCCGGATGGCTGGGGGTAGGATCTGGCTAGCCAGCTGCTGAATGAGAAGCAGAGAGGAGAACCCCATGTCTCTCCCCACCACCTGTCTCGGCCTGACTCTGCTGCAGCCTTCTCCTGGGAGCCAAAGACTGATTCAGCACTTTATGAGAGGTAGAGCTTAATCACCATGCTGTGGCCCACTTTGGCAAAATGTGACCAGGTGGCTATAGAACAGGATGTCAGGCAACTTCCTGGGTGGTGGGGGAGAGTGGGGCAGCTGTTTGGAGACGCTGGCCTTACCTGGCCTATATAAAGGCTTTCACTGAGAAAATATCATAGCTAGGCAACATCTAGTCTCAACCCATTGCTCTGCACCAGTGGTTCTCACCCCTGGCTGTCCATCTAAATAATCACCTGGAGACTTCTGGAAAGGCTTCTACCTGGGCCCTACTCCCACAGATGTACGCGTTCTGGGGTAGGGCCCAGGTATTGGAGTTTCAAAAGCTACCTAGTTTATTTCAATCTATATGCAGGGTTGAAAAACCACTGCCCCAGTCCACCTAAGACTTACAGATGACCTGGGTGCAGCCTGTGAAAGCCAGCATATGTGCCCAGGGCCAAACTGGGAGGAATAGGGAGAAGTGCTGCCTGCCTGGGATGCTATTCATGCTCATCACTCCTGCCATCATCCCTTCTCTCTACCTCAGGCCAATTTCCACTGTGCTTTAAACAGAAATGAGGATGTACCCAAGTGTCTTTATTTTGGCTACAGGGCAGCAGTTTGATAAACTCGCAAGTTTGCGACATTCGTTGTTTAACACAGAGACAGCCGTGAACCCAAAGTCTACTCTGAGGCGGAGGCGGACCATTATTGGATTCTCTAACTTTTCCCAGCGAGACCAAGGTGACCCCATCACAGCTGATCTTCCAGACCCTTCCCCTTGCCCATTCCCACCAATCCTGCCAGCAGGTGGTATTGTGGTGTTGGGGAACAAGAATAATTCAGTGGGGGAGGGGACGTTGGATATCCTGAAAAAGCCAGTGTAATGAAAAATAGCCAAGGGCTTTTTGTCAAGGGTGGCAACTAAATATGGAGAGTAGGTGTCCTGGGCTAATAAATTCATTACAGTATTATTTCCAATTATAAATGTCATGTAACCATATATACCAAATTTAGGCAAATAGATAAGGATGGGAAAATCCTCGCTAAAGCCACCATCTTTTTTTTTTTTTTTTTTTTGAGTTGGAGTCTCACTCTGTCGCCCAGACTGGAGTGCAGTGGCCTCTCCCGGCCACCGCAGCCTTGACCAGCTGGGCTCTGGCGATCCTTCCCCCTCAGCCTTCCGAGTAGCTGGAATTACAGGCGTGCGCTACCACGCCCAGCTAACTTTTTGATTTATTGTAGAGATGAGGTCTTGCCAAATTGCCCAGGCTGGTCTCGAACCCTCGGGCTCAGGCAATCCACTCACCTCAGCCTCCCAAGGTATGGGATTACAGGCTGAGCCACCGAGCCCGGCTTAAAGCCACCATCTTAACAGAACCATTACTACCATTAAATGAATGTTAACCACAAAGCACAGACCAGGGAGATACCAATGGATCTTACTAACCAGGGAGGCCTTGGCTAAATTACATAACCTCTCTGAGTCTCAGTTTCTTCATCTATAAATTGGGAATCATGATACTGACCTGGGAGAGTTATTGTGAGGATTTGTGTTATTGTGTGTAATTTGCCTACCATGTGCTTGGTACAGTCGGAGTTCAACAGATGGTGGCTGTTATTATAAATTATCATAGCAGTAGTAGTAGTAGTAATAATAATGACATAAAAATAACAATTGGTTGTATTTGTGAACAAAGCTTGAGGTATTTGCAGCATCTGAACAGTTTCCTCACATCTGTAGGTCATCCTCAGTCTCATGTTGCAAAGCCTAAAAGTGCCAAAATGCAACCAGACTCTTTTTTTAGGCTGGTCTCGAACTCCTGGGCTCAGGCAGTCCTCCTGCCTCAGCCTCCCAAAGTGCTGAGATTATAGGCTCTTAACTTTCCAGCTTGGGCATACTCCAGAGTCACTGCTAGAGCTGAAAGTCACACAGTGCAGTACTTAATTCAAAAGCCTTTGCTCTCATCTCTGGATGAATGAATGCTGAGGTCTGTGATGGTTTTATGAGCCTAGGGTGAAAGTATGGGGAAACCCCAAGGTAGTTCCACATAACACTTTGGCTCAAAGCTGGAAAGTCTTTGGCAGCCATCTGGACAATTCAAGGGCACCGTATGACTCACTTTGGGGTGATGGGCAAGGGCCCAACTTTCTCAGCCTCCTCATCCATGGAAAGGAAGAACCAAGGAATTCTGACCAAGCTGTTGGCAAATGCTTCTTGGCAAAAAAGTTGGTGCTCCCGTCTCAAAATAGCTGATGAGGGATCCCTTGCTGCAGCACTAATGTTCTGTGTTTACTTTCTTCAGGTCACAGCAACAGCTCAACAGGCAGTGTGGCCCACTCTACCACCTCCAACATCAGACCCAGTCACTCAGTTCCGGATAGTGTTCATGGAAGAGTTGCAGTTGGTCAGGAAGCTCGGTTCCCAAGTCTTACCTCGCCAGTACTGAGACCTTCTTCTAGTGAGCTGGAAGAACTTCACCAGGGACAAGGTAGCCCAAACCCTCCTGGCATGGAGGGCATGGGAATGGTGTACAGCGTCCCCAGTTCTTGCAATGGACCAACAGAATCGACCTTTTCCACTTCCTGGAAGGGAGATACTTTTACCTACATGACTCCAAGTGCCACCAGCCAGAGCAATCAAGTCAGTGAAAATGGAAAAAATCCTTCCTCTGGGAATTCTTGGGTCTCTCTGAACACACTCCCACCTCTGGTTCCTAAGGAGGCTGCTACGCTCTGTGTTGCTCATGATAGCCCAGCAGGCTGCAGTGGGCTAGCTGGCTACTCTGAGCACCCTATTCAGCGAAGGCACCTACTGGAAAGACCCTCCAAGATTGGCCTTCTGACCAGTGGTACCTCAAGGCTGGAGACAGGCCCAGGTGGGGCCAGCAGATTCCGGGAGCGGTCACTGTCTGTGCCCACAGACTCCGGCACCACAGATATGGACGATGATGAGGAGCAGAAGGCCAGTGAGGCCTGTGCCCTGCCTTATGCCAGTACAAGCTCTGAGGGCAGTAACAGTGCCGACAACATCACCTCTCTTAATGCCCAGCAGGAGGCCCAGCACAGAAGGCAGAGATCCAAGAGTATCTCACTCAAGAAGGCCAAAAAGAAGCCTTCCCCACCAATGCGCAGTGTCTCACTGGTCAAAGATGAGCCAGGCCTCCTGTCAGAAGGTGGGTCAGTTCTGCCCAGGGACCAGAGGCCCAGGAGCCTTTGCCTCTCCTTGGAACACCAAGGACATCACTCGTCCCATCCAGATGCTCAGGGTCACCCAGCTGTGCCAAACCTCAAAGATCCAGAAGGTACACAATTTTCCCACCACTGGTATCTTACTGACTGGAAGTCTGGTGACACTTACCAATCTTTGTCCAGCTCCAGCACTGCCACTGGCACCACAGTCATTGAGTGCACCCAAGTTGAGGGCAGCTCAGAGTCTCTTGCCTCCCCTTCCACCTCCAGAGCCACTACACCCTCCCAACTCTCTATCGAGGTGGAGGCTAGGGAAGTATCCTCCCCAGGAAGGCCCACCGGACTGATGTCACCCTCCAGTGGCTACTCCAGCCAGTCAGAGACACCAACACCCACTGTTTCCATGTCCTTGACCCTGAGCCACTTACCCCCTCCAAGTGGCAGTGGCCGGGTACGTCCAGTGGTACCTGAGAGGAAGTCATCACTACCGCCAACATCACCAATGGAGAAATTTGCCAAGTCACGGCTATCATTTGACCTACCACTGAGCTCTTCAGCCACCTTGGATCTGTCTGGGATGAGTATCTCCATCCGAAGCAAAGCCAAAGTGAGCCGGCATCACTCAGATACAAATTTTGGGGCCAAACTGGCCCAGAAAACTAGTCCCAACCAGCCAATCATGCCCATGGTTACTCAGTCCGACCTACGTTCTGTTCGCCTGAGGTCAGTCAGCAAGTCTGAGCCAGAAGATGACATTGAGAGCCCTGACTATGCTGAGGAACCCAGAGCAGAAGTCTTCACTCTGCCAGAGAGAAAGATGAAACCTCCTGTAGCTGAGAAGCCTCCGCTGGCCCGAAGGCCCCCAAGCTTGGTCCACAAGCCACAATCTGTTCCTGAGGAGTATGCACTAACTTCGCCTACCTTGTCTATGGCCCCCAAGAGCTCAATTCAACACATGAGACCACTCCCTCAAGATAGCTACACAGTGGTGCGGAAACCAAAGTCCTCCAGCTTTCCCGATGGCAGAAGCCCAAGGGAGTCAACAGCACCCTCATCTCTTGTTTTTATGCCTTTTGCCAGTTCCTCTGGTGCTTTCTTCTCAGGAACACAGAAGCCTCCCCAGGGAAGTATGGAGGACGAGGTCCCCAAGGTGAGAGCTCTGCCTGAAAGAATTAGTTTCCAGAATCAGGAAGAAGCAGAGAAAAAGAAAGGCAAGATTCCACCTCCTGTACCAAAAAAGCCCAGTGTGCTGTGTCTGCCTCTCACCTCCCCCACAGCTCAAATGGAGGCCCATGTGACAGAACCAAGGCTGCCTCTCAGCCCCATCATCACCCTAGAGGAAGAAGCCAAGTGTCCTCCCACTGGCGATGACCTGCAATCACGTGGTAGAAGGACAACTTCAACTCTGCAGGCTGACAGTGAAAAGGAGGCAAGCCCTCCGGGTTAGTAAACTGTCCGCTGGTCTTTTCCTTCTGTTTCAGGAGAGATGAGGGTGAGATGGAGTGCCAGAGACAGAAGTGAATGCCCCAGAATACTTATCCTGATCCCAAGTCAGTAGCAAGCACTTCTTGAGGGTTCGGGTTACTCTGAATAGGAAGCACGGATCCGCCTGACTGCTCTTGGGATCAAGACTGACCAGGAGCAGATCTCCAAGGACTGGGTTGGGCTAATCTACCCTCGAACCCCTAGTCCTGAGATAATGAAATCAAACTAGGTCCAAGCACCCTAGACCTTCAGGATCCTATCTACCTAGTCAGGCATACATCCTGGGCTCTAGGAACTACTTCTCCACCTCGCTGTATAGTATTTTTCATTAGCTGCACAGAATTTAGTTCCCTGCATGGGTCTTAGTTTCCTCCAGACTGAGTTCAAGTGCTGTGGCAGGCTTGGAGGCTTCTGAAACAATGGAATATGTTACCACCAGCAGCCTTTCTTGTGCCTTCCAGAGGAAAGGAAGCTCAGTTTCTTGGGTGGTTTGAGGCTAGCTTTTCCTGGAACCATAAACTAGGCTGATTAATGTTTCTTATCTTTTCCTCTTTTTGTTTTAATTGTGGTAAAATACACAAAACATAACATTTACCATCTTAACTATTTTCAAGTGTGCTGTTCATTAGTGTTAAATAGTTACACATTGCTGAGCAACCAGCCTCCAGAACTTTCATCTTGCAAAACGGAAACTCTATACCCAATAAACAATAACTCCCCTCCCCCCATCCCCCCAATTCCTCCCTGGCAACCACTGCTTTCTGCTTTCTGGCTCTATGACTAGTCTAGATATTTCACATATGTGGAATCATATAGTACTTGCCCTTTTGTGACTGACCTATTTCACTTAACGTTCTCTTAATGTTCACTTAATGTTTCACTTAATGTTCGCAAGGTTTGTTCATGTTTCCCATCCCTTTCTGAACTCTCAATACCAAACATCAAAACTCATGACCTTCTATAAGCTGATTTAGACTTTCAATATATGTCAGTCATAATGAAAACAAACAAACAAATAAATCAAAGCCACCAGTGATTACAGAATATGCTTCCTCAGACTTCACCAGGCTCTCTTTGAGATTCAGATAGTCTCACTCTCGTCCACTGGGTGAGTCATTACTTAGATCACTCTCAGCTCCTGGATTTTTAAAAATTATATACCACGTTTAAAACAAGAGAATGGGGCAAGCGTGGTAGCTCATGCCTGTAGTCCCAGCACTTTGGAAGGCTGAAGCAGGAGGATCACTTGAGGCCAGGATTCAAGACCAGCCTGGGCAACATAGCAAGACACTGACTCTTAAAAAAAGCAAAGGGATGTTCGGGACACCTGTTGTAGTGAAAAAGGCATGAGAGAACAGGGGCTCAGGCCAGTCCTCTCTGCTCACTCCACCTTGGGCAAATCATTAAGCTTCTGAACTTCATGTTCCTCCTCTGCAAAATGGAGATATTAAAAATCTCTGCCCAGCTGCCCTTTCAGAGTTGCTTTAAACATCAAATGAAATAACACATGAGAACGTGCTATATCCTGTCTATTGTGGTCAAAGTCATTCCTTTTGGTTCTTATACCTAGGGAGTTCTGTGGAAACAAGCACCGAAGAAAAAAGTTTAATCAGTGATAAAACAGCTGAATGGATTGCGGAGGATGATGATGATGTGTTTGTGGCTTCACGCACAACTGAAGATTTGTTTACTGTGATACACAGGTCTGGACCAATTTCCTTAATTCTAATTGCAATTGTCTTCCTTTTTTCTACTTAAAGAAAAACTGCAGTCATTAGAATTGCAACTGGAGACTCAGTTCAGATACTTGTATAAGTGAATGCAGCCCAGGACCTCACATCTTAAATTCACTGATATGGTTGGGTGAAGTGGAGGAGGGGAGGGAAGAGGAGGACCAGGTGCCTTGTTGGGGGGGGGCTCGTCTCCTAGCAACCGCTTGGCCTATTGTGGCTCCATCTGCTCTCTCACAGCTCTGCCTACAGTCAGACATTTAACCCTTCATAGAATTCCTTGTACCAAAAAATTGCATAAAGAGATGAAGTGAGCCGGGCTTGGTGGCTCAGCCTGAAATCCCGCTCCTTGGGAGGCCGAAGTGAGTGGATTGCCTGAGCCCGCGGGTTCGAGACCCACCTGGGCAACTTGGCACGACCGCATCTCTACAATAAATCAAAAATCAGCCGGGCGTGGTAGCGCGCGCCTGTAGTTCCAGCTACTTGGAAGGCTGAGGCAGAAGGATCGCCAGAGCCCAGCAGGTCGAGGCTGCGGTGGCCGGGAGCGGCCACTGCACTCCAGTCTGGGCGACGGAGTGAGACTCCAACTCAAAAAAAAAAAAGAGATGAAGTGGAGCACCAGGCAGCATATCAAAGCAGTATCTTAGGTGGGGGGAGGGTTGCAGATGAGGACCCAGTTATTGAGCAGGGCCACAAGGCAGGGGTTCCAAGACAAGACAACTGGAAAGAGCCCCTTAGTATAGCTGGAGCATCAGTTCAGAACAAGGTTAGTCCCAAGCTGTCTTGATTCAGTCACTGAGCTACTACCTTTGACTCCTGAAATTCGTCCTTGACCCCAGAACCCAGGTAGGACTGAGCCTGCAGGCTCAGGCCAAGTGACTCCAGCTGTGGACAATGAAAGGCATGTGGGGACAGGGAACCTAACGAGGGGCTCTGAGGACTTGAAGATGAGAAAGTGGGCAATACAACTGCTTGTAAGGCTGCTACATGGATGTTTTCAGATCATGTCTGTTGCATGAACTCAACTCAAATCAAACGTTCTCTTATTTAGGTCCAAAAGGAAGCTGCTTGGCTGGAAGGAGCCTGGTGAGGCTTTTGTGGGTGGCAGACCAAGCTCCCACTCACCAATAAAGAACACAGCTGAATATCCAGTCAGTGAATCTGCTGCTGCCACAGGGTCAGGCAGCAGTACCAACCTAGATGCCGGCAGAAATGATGATTTCAAAGCCTTGCTACAGAAGAAGGGAAGTAAGGCAACCCCAAGGTCCCGCCCCTCAGCAGCCGAACTGCTGAAGACCACTAACCCACTGGCTCGGAGAATTATTGCACAATTTTCAAAAGACTATGAAACCACTGATGACCCCAGTACCTAAGCCCTGGGTTCAGCAAGCAGGGTTTACTTTTAAACTTGAGTAGAGAAGGGGGAAGAGAAAGGGTTTTTAAAAGGAACTGTGGGAATAACAACAGAGCCTACATTTCTTTCACATTAACTCACACTCTGGACAGCAGGAAAGAGGCCTCTTCATCTAGAGCTAAAATCATCAGGCACGTAGTCATCTTTAGACATCTTACATTTTTATACTTACAAGCTTGCCATGACTGACTACTGAGTTTCTTCTTATTTCTCCCCCCAACCCGGCCCCCATGGTGTGTACTAACGAAGAAGAAATTCTCAGATGCCAGGGCACGTGTGCCGTCTTTCAGTCAATGACCCAGCTGCTCCTTCCCTGGCTCCTGTCGCTGAGGGGTGCAGTGTAAGAGCAGATTGAGGGCTGCCAGACCTGGGGGGCATAAAATGCCGCTGCTCTGTTCGCTTTCCTGGGGAGGCCCTGACAGCCCTGTATGCATATACAGAAAGACTCTGATGCCCCTTCAACCGCAGTTTAACATTCCCCTGCACTCCTGAGTGGTTTGCAAGTGTGCACTTATTTCAACATGGGGTTGATTGGATGGCTTTTGTGGTGCAAAATATGAATGTGACTCTGTCCTGATATTTCCTGACGTTTTCAGTTTGATTGTCTACACGGAGATCAGGGTGATGAGTTTTAAACATATAGATTTCCCACACACACACCACCACCACTAGCTAGAAAAGGCCAGGACTGGGTTGCTTTGGATGAACCAAGCTCAGCCAACAAACAAGACAGCAATTTGTTCACTGAGTTCTTTCCAAGGTAACTCGCATGGGTGCCTTGAGATCCTTCAAGTGTCTGTCAGCAGCAATTGCCAGGATCTGTGCCCAGCTCATGCTGCATTCTAAGGACTCTCATTTTATTTGCATATAACTTTCACTGCAGGAAGTAATTAGCTGAAGGAACAGCATCATCAAAGGCTCAAGAAGAATAGAAAGTAAGTGCATCTTGCCCCTAACCATTCAATTGAGATTGTGATGTGAGGTGATTTGTGGTTTAAAAGGCAGCCTTGCAAGTTGCTATAGCCCATAACACACCAAAAAAAAAGGGGGCTACTTTTTATCATTTCAATTCTGCTGTTTGACCAACTTCAATTAACCTTGCTGGGGGCCAGTGTAAGAACTTGAAAGACCTCCAGAATGACCACTGCGACCCCCTCCTCCTCCGAAGTTTATAGGCACTAACTGTTCTTGACAGCTAAGTTTTCTAAGCAGTGGTTCATTTGATTTTTGTATACCTGATTTATGGGAGATGGAGAGTGGGGAAGACAAAGCATTGAACAAAGAAAACCTGCTGACCAATGATGGAACATTAAATGGCTTATCCCCAAGAGGCAAAAAGAAAAGTCAAATGCAATTGTAGCCTGCTTCACAAAGAGAATTCCCTGACCCCTTCTTACTTCACCCTCATCCAACAAATTCATTGGTCGTCGGGCTCTGTGGCTCAGCCTGTAATCCTGTGCCTTTGGGAGGCTGAGGTGAGTGGATTGCCTGAGCCCACGGGTTCGAGACCCGCCTGGGCTGCGAGACCTCATCTCTACAATAAATCAAAAAATCAGCCGGGCGTGGTAGCGCATACCTGTAATTCCGGCTACTCGGAAGGCTGAGGCGGAAGGATCGCCGAAGCCCAGCAGGTCGAGGCTGCGGTGGCTGGAAGCGGCCACTGCACTCCAGTCTGGGTGACAGAGTGAGACTCCAACTCAAAAAAAACAAAACAAAAACAAACAAACAAACAAACAAAACAAATTCATTGGTCAACCTCCTGGAGGATGTAGTAAGAGTTCCAGAGGCCGGGCATAGTGACTCAAGCCTGTAATCCCAGCACTTTGGGAGGCTGAGGCGAGAGGATTGCCTGAGCTCAGGGGTTTGAGAGCAGCCCAGGCAACTTGGTGAGACCTCGTCTCTACAATAAATAAAAACAATAAGCTGGGTGCGGTAGCGCACGCCTGTAGTTCCAGCTACTTGGAAGGCTGAGGCGAAGGATCATCTGAGCCCAGCAGGTTGAGGCTGTGGTGGCTGTGAGAGTTCCACTGCACTCCAGCCTGGGTGACAGAGTGAGACTCCAACTTAAAAAAAAAAAGTTTCACAGACAAGCAGATCTCAATTGTGACAGGTCGCATCGCTCACCAATAAGAAACAAGCTCTTAGCTCAACTGCCCACATCCAATCAAACAGAGCAGCTGAAAAACCACACTGAGCACAGAGAAGTCTTGGACCTGTCACACAGAGAAGTCCTAGGTCTAGGCCCTTGGTAGGTACAGTTCTGAATTCAAGGCTTCTGGGATCAGGCCGAGCCCACCAACTCCCTTGCAATGAGCACTTCCTTCCATTTTAGAAAGAAGCCACTTAAAATAATAAACAGCTAGCGAAAGTCCAGTTGCTTTTGAAAATATTGGAACTACTTGGTTTGAAGGTATTAACCAAATTTCAGAGTTTTTTCCCAAAGTAAAATAGATTCATCCCTGGCCTTAGTTTATATGTGAATGCCACACTTGTCTTCCCCAGACTCGGAATTCCAAAAGATGGAAGCATTTTCCTCTGTAGGGAAATGAAGGGGTGTTTTTGCTTTTGCTTAACAAAAGTGAAAGGTTTCCAGGGCCTGCTTCTTGGGAGCCATTATGACTAGCTTAACTCTAAAGCTGAATATGGGACTCACATAGTATAGGTCTTGTTACTTCTGCTGATATTTCTGGAAGCTTCTTGTTTACTATTTCTAGTGAGATTTGCCTCTCCCCTCACTTTGCTACCTCTGGAAGTTTTCCCAAAATATTCTAAAGCTGAATGCTCAGACACTTTGATGTTTTTCAATGACCTTGATTCTTGCTTTCCTCCACAATACTCTAAACCTGAAATTTTTAGAACATCTTTTACATCCTCACTGTGGCCCTCGAATGCCCAGTGGTGTTCCCGTTAACACAAGAGGATGTGGAACAGATTGTATGGTCAGAGATAACATTTAGGACTGGAACTATTCACCTAATATTTTGCAACAGGTAGACCTAGTTCCAAACAACTAAATTTTCTACCAATTACTGATGAACAGAACATCAGTCATCTTTCCTATTCCTAACACTCAACCCCTCTCCTACCTTTCTACCCCTGATTGCCATATCAACTCTTTCTCCCACCCAGACACTTGCCACAATGTTTGCTACCTTCTGTATCTCCTCTACCGAGTCTAGAGAAAAGGCTGCAAGCCCCTTTCAGGAAGGCTTGCAGAGAAACTACTAGTATGTACTAGTATGAATAATGATAATAACTTTTGTAGGTGGAATAGAGAAGAGGTTTACATGAAGTGAGTTGGCCCCAGGAGGTCAGCTTCCATTCCAAGTTGTCCTTGTCTCCTCTTTTCCCTCTGATTCCAAAAAATAGCAGCTGGTGGCTCTGCTAGACTGACTTCAATCTAGTCAGGAATAGAGGGAGCCATCTCCAGGAGAAGAGGTTCATTGGTAATTAAGGGTGCTTTGTACTTGGTGGGTATTTGTGGTTCACATGTATTTGTGGTTCACATGTTGAGGGTAGAGAGCAAGTTATTCTCAAGACAACAGCAGGTTTTGCTGGTGTTTCCTCTCTTTGGCCTGCACTACTTGGCCTACCTCAGCCTCCTTCCCCCTCCCACCTGGCCCCAACTTGTCCCTCAACCCCAACTCCCATGAACTGTATCCTTAGCCAACCAAAAGGAGGTGAGACAACAGGCAGCAAAATAGTTCACATTAGCGTAATAACCACAAATTGACCAGCTGACCTGCAGAAATTACCCTGAATATATGTGCAAAGACAGAGGAGATGCTACCAGGCTCTTCTAACAAGCATTTCATCTGACATCCACTTTAACTTTCTAGATGACGCAGGTCCGATTGCAATCGCCCTGTACGTCTCAGTCCAAGCAGATCTGCTCATGCACTTGCTCTCTTCCTCATCAATGAACTAGCCAGGAAAAAGACGTGTTCACACTCAGTGCTCTGTTCCTCACTCATTCAGCCTTCTGTTATTGTCAAGTCTGTGTCACAATGGCAGGCTTTCGCTTTCATATGATTTGCCAGGGCCAGGACTAGGGTGAGGTGAGCCAGGCGCCTAGGGCACAAAATTCAAGGAGGCACCCACTCTCAGGGCTGTGCAAGTGCCTTCCCCTCGTCCCAGCCCTGTAATTTGCACTCTGTAAAGTAATATTAGTTTATCTTCTTCCTGTGAACAAGTGTAGTCCTTCTGATTTGAGTAAGAGGTAACTGTCTATTGTGATATCAAATGTTTTATTGCTATCTGTTTTTCCATTGCTATAAGCCTTTGTATGCCTATACATTAAAGAATCTTCAGTAGTATCAGAAAACAGTTTATTTCTAAGTAGCCTGCTCCAAGTGGCGAGTTAGCAAACATTTCAGTAAGGATACCCACAGGGACACCCTTCAACAAAACCGTGAATGTGTTAGAGGGCTGTCACATGGTCCCCTGACCTGCTAGCTCCTTCTGCTCCTTTCTCCCCAAACCTCACTTCCCAGTGCCAACTCTCCCAGTGCCTCCTGCTTTGTTCTCCTCTCTAAAATAAACATGCTCTCAGGAAAGGGATAAGTTCATTTACTTTTAGATTATAAGGCTTAATGCTACCTCTTTTGAGGATCATTTGTATTTTAACAGGGGAAAAAACCTTAAGCCAAAGGAATGAAGTTCTACTTGCAAAATGTTAGGCTTCAACATAGAAGTGTATTCTTTACCACGGAAAGGCCAAATTCTCTGATGGCTAACTCCATAAAATAAAAAACATCTTAATCTCCCGGAATCGTTTTAGTTAATAGCTGACAGTCAATTAAATTGCCCTGATACCCAGTGCTGTTCAATATGGTTTACTACCAAGGGACTCTCAGAAATGGCTACTAAACACCACCGAGAAGGCCTAGACCATTCATATTGTACATTAACATTTTTACATTAATGGAATTCATACTACTTAACTGTTTGAGTAAAGGAACACAAGGATTTAAAGAGTTTGTGACAATGTGTCCTGTTTGTGAAAGGTGAAACTGTTCAATCTATGTCCAATCAATGTCAGTTGTCGGGTATTGGTGGTGATTATTAAATTTATTGGAGATACAGCGTTACCAATACAAGCCTCTGTATCCCCCCACTTTATCTCTGTGACAGGCTGTTACTTCAGCT